CCAATGGCCCCCTCAGCCCCCAGCTGTGCCCGGCCCCTGCCTCACGGGGAGGCCTCAGCGGGGGTCCGTCCCAGAATAAACGATACTGGGGTTCCCTCCAGCGAGGGAGACTGGATAGCATCCTTGGGGGGGGTAAAAAAAGGGGGGAGCCTGGCAGGGAACCCCAGGGGAGGTCACGCAGGTGGCAACGAGACGGGACAGGCCTTGGCCTGACAAGGGTGCAGCGTTTGGGTTGAGCATCGGTTCCTGTCGCTGTTCACAGCTTCTCTAAGATGAGTGGCGAGGCTCCCCTGGGCCTGGAGGGCAGGGTCCGGAAAACACTGCGAAGGGTCTTTGGGTTTGAGTCCTTCAAGACTTCCCTGCAGGAAAGCGCGACCATGACTGTGGCAAGAGGTGAGGCTCAATGTCGGAAAGATGTGAAACGCGTCTGGTTTTCCATCTTCCTGTGAGGGTGGTGCTGCAGAAGTTGGTATCGCGCCTGTTTTGAGGATGCACATCACCTGGACTAGGCAGGACAACCTGGCCCTCCGAGCCCTCCTGGGCCTCCTCTGCTCTGAGATCGTTTCATGGTGTAGGAGCAGGAGCATGCACTGCACACAAGCTCTCTGAGCATGGCTTTGTCCTGTCGGTTCTCCATCATGTTTGTTTTGTAACCCCAGTATTGCATCAACCAGAAAATAGGAAACCTTAAAGTACAGTCTCACTGGTTTCTCCACTGGAGGCATCTGCCAGCATGTTTATGGTCAGATGAGATCAAAACTGCTTACATTTATACATTTTCAGAGTAAACCTGTCCTTGCTGTTGACGATGTTAGACAGAGATGATACCAGTAGAAGACTTGATTTCCTGGCGTAGTTTGTATCTGTTCTCTGAATCATGTGGCCATTATCAGAAACAAGATTTTGCTGGTGTCAACGTATCCGCCAACACACCGCTGCTGGTTGGACAGGCAGCTCACACACACAAGCTGCCAACCATCAGCTTCCCCAGCAGGTCTCACAATGCAAATTGGAACAGTGTCAAACTCAGAACTCGGGATATAGTTACGATTTTCCTCTGTTGCCAGGAGCTGTGCAGACGTGCTGTTGACAACAAACTGGCCAAAAGCAGCGTTCTGTCAGCAGAGCACATTACATTAACAAATTAACATTGCGTGCACTGGCATCTCCCTGACTTGCTCAGCGCAGTGAGAGTTACTAACTGCATGATATTATCTACGTGGTTGAGGTTTCTAACCCTTATTTCTTATGAGGTACCTTTCTGGGATAAGCTTTAAGAGGATGTGGTAAAGATTTCTCATGGGGCTGGTAATTTGGTAACTGGAGGTCTGCAAGATGAGTGAAAGCAGCTTGTCTGGAAGAGAATGAGCATGAATAACTTGTTTAACTTCTCTTTATCTTGGTTTCTGTGTATCTTCTGGTACTTTTGTAAGTTGTTTCTAAGTGTTTACAAAGCAATCTGAGATTCTTTGAAGGAAACTATTGCAGGCACGCAAAGTATTGCTATGCTCTTAGAACCTAAAACGAAGTGTCTTTTGTTGGTATGCTGCACAGTATGGGCACGCGGATGGTGTTTCTCACAGATTACAAGCCGTTGTGCCCACCCCTCCGGACAGAGCCCTGGGAACTCGCCACCACTCAGTAGCCTTGAGCTTTCTTCTGTTGTCTTTGCAGGCGAGAAGGATGTCTTTGTATGCATGCCCACAGGGGCAGGGAAATCCTTGTGCTACCAGCTTCCTGCAGTTCTGGCAGTGGGCATCACCATTGTCATTTCACCTCTGATTGCACTGATTCAGGTAACTGTCTCCTGTTAGCTGTGGAAAAGCAGGCAGCGAAGGGGGTCGGGAGACGCTGGAGGCCCAGCTGTCTCTCGTCTTTCTGTCCACGAGTCTCTGCTGTTGGCCTGCCTCTGGATTCTCATCTTGATGTCTTGGTGCGTTTTCCATACCCTGGTGATCGGTGAAGAGACTGCAACTTAGCTGCAGAGCAGAGTAACTCTGGTATGATACTGTGCAGTTCTCTAAAAGGAGGTTTTTCTTCTTTAATAATAAATGGTGATTTTTACAGCTGAACCTTTCTCCATTTTCTCCAGTTGTCTTTTACCTCCAGTGTGCTATATGGAAGCATCAGAGTACCTCAAATGTACCAAACTGGATCTTTCCCCAGAAGAAAACTGCCATTTTACCTATAAAGTAATAACTTGAGGAATTATGAAGTTGCCTTTGAAGGCATAATTTGTTCTGCATCAAAATGTCTTTTTTGTTGCAGTCAGTCTTTCTGTCATGGGAAGAAGCTGGTTTAGCAGAGCTGCTCCTTGAGCACTTTCATCTGTGAGACTTTTTTTTTTTTTCTATTTTGCCTTTTCTAATGTTTCATCACCTGTTGGGAGAAACACCTCCCTGTAAGAGCAGCTGTAGCATTGCTTAGGCTTCTGTAAAGCATCTGATTAACGTTGCATGATATGTGGTGTTGTAGGCTGCTGTTTTGGTTTCTATGGTGTTTTTTTTAACTACTTCACAGTCAATGTAAAACACTTTAAGCGTTAAGAGCAGGCTTGGTGATACATCTCAGAAAGGTGTTATAAATAGTGAATTTGTTCCAAGTGAGAGGATTCGTAATTAAGCTCCAGCACAGGCAATATTTTGTCAGTGAAATGGAGGTTAAAAAGTTACTTTTGAGATTTGCAGGTGAAGCAGAATGTGTCAGAGTGACAAATAGATTGAGATGGGCTCAGTGAGTCTTACGGAACAGAGCTGGAGTGAACCTTCTGAGCTTTTCTCACCAAGCCCTGAGGTGAGGTGGCTCTGCCTGAAACGATCATGATGTATTTCAGTGTAGCCAAACTTCAAGAGCTTAGTCTGTGTAGTTTATTATAGGGAAGGCTGAGAGCTGACTTTGTGAACAGAAAACAGTGGATATTAAATCAATCACTGAAACCAGTTATTGAGCTCAATAATGAGATATCCATTGTTCGGGACTATTCATATCTTCTGAAATGTTGTGTGTTAGTCAGGTGCAAATGAACAGGTCAGTGTAAGGACAGGGAGTTGAATTTTTATGTCCAGTGTTGATGTGGATGTATCTGGATGCAATGGCATGTTTTCTTCTTGGTTTTCATGGCATGATGCTCATCCAGACTGTTTTGTTGCACTGATGATTCACATGATCCATGTATTTCATCCCTTCTCAGCTGTGTTTATAACATCCTTTAGCTATTCTGGAAGGAAATGCACTCTGTTATTGTAGGGTGGTAGTATTCATTTTCCATCTGTGACAACTTGATAGTGTAAATCCTGAGACGCGTTGGTGGCTTGTTTCAGCTCACTGGCTATAATGAGTTATTCTGCACAAATCCCTGCTGGTGTTCCCTAGCAGCAAAAAAACTGTCTTAAAGTGAATGAGTGCACAAAAATGCAGTTGGATGTTAGAGCTGGACAGATATGCTCACAGTTGAAGATAAAGGCATCTGGAGTTGAAGTTCTAAATACCCTGACTGTAGGTGTATGTTGTCCTGAGACTTAATCCTGGAGGTGGAAGTTGGGGCCTCACCTGGATCCTCCCTAGCAGTCTTTTCTAGTGATGTTGACTTTCTTTAATTCCATTTGCTTTTCATTTAATTTTAATTTTGTATTTACTCTAGGATCAAGTGGATCACTTGCTGGCTCTGAAGATCAAAGCCTGCTCTCTGAACTCCAAGCTGTCTGCCCAGGAAAAGAAGACCATCCTGGCTGACTTAGCAAGTGAGAAGCCCCAAGTAAAGCTCTTGTACATCACCCCAGAGATGGCAGCCGCCTCTTCCTTCCAACCTACGCTGAACTCTCTGGTGTCCCGAAACCTCTTGTCCTACCTGATAATCGATGAAGCGCACTGTGTTTCCCAGTGGGGACATGATTTCCGACCTGACTACCTACGGCTGGGCACCTTGCGCACTCGCATACCCAATACGCCGTGTGTTGCCTTGACGGCCACTGCCACCAAGCAGGTCCAGGAGGATATCGTGGCAGCGCTTAAGCTAAAGCAGCCACTTTCCACATTTAAGACTCCTTGCTTCAGATCTAACTTGTTCTATGACGTGCAGTTCAAAGACCTCTTGACTGATCCATACACCAATTTGAAGGATTTCTGTCTGAAGGCACTTGAAGTGAAGAACACCACTGGGGTAGGTTTTACATTTGTGGAAGAAGGCTAAACTGAACAAAATCTACCTTAGTGGGCACTGACCAGTGGTTAGTATGGCCCAGACAGG